GAAACTTACCACATAGCTCAGGCTTTCCTTGAATTCCACAGAAATCTTGCCTCAGACTCCCAAGTGTTGGATTATAGACAGGAACTACCGTGTCTGGCTTCATCGAGATCCTCTCATAGATGTATTTATTATATTCACCCCTATTTTTTTTCAAAGTAATCCCTGAGTGGTGTGGGAGGTCCTTCTGTCTATGTGTTGCTTGTATTGGTTAATTAATAAAGAACTGGCTTGGCCTATAGTATGGGAGGAGGAAGGTGGAGTCAGAGAGAAGCCATGGAGCCGCACGTGTTGAAACTTTGCTGGTATGCCAGAATCTTGTGGTGATGCACAGATTACTAGAAATGGGTTAAATTAAGATGTAAGAGTTAGCCAACAAGAATTTAGAGCTAATGGGCCAAGCAGTGTTTTAATTAATACAGTTTCTGTGTGATTATTTGGGGGCTGAGCAGTCAGGAATGAACAAGCAGCCTCCTCCAACACCTGAGCAGAAATAATATAAGAGGACTCTCACTTTTCCAGTGCCAGATCCTGGAGCAACAGGTCAGAAACACAGCAAGGCAAGATGGGGACCATGATGCTAAGGGCAAGGTCTACCCTGGACGTCCACCTTGGAGGAGTCCCTGCTATTCAGCGCTGTATAAACACCATTATTCACTTTGTTCTTGACTGGAAAAGTGAGTTAAGTTATAGACCCACCTGAGGTTTGCAGCCACTGGAGCAAAGAGTTCTGTGCTGGAGGACCAACCTGACAATACTTGTAAAAAGGGTGAATTCATATCTGGCAAGAGACGAAATGGGATCCAGGTGTAGGGTGCATATTTGTAACCCCAGTACTTGGGAGGTTGCGGCAGGATGATTTCTGCAAGTTCAAGGCCAGCCTGAGCTACATGGGCCTTAGTCAGAGGTTCCAAAGCCTTTAGGATAGCTACTGCCTGTATTAGTATAGGCTGCTCACCTGAGCAAGATGCACAACTATCTGCAGATGACACTACAAATGGGTGTGTGTGTGTGTGCATGTGTAAACCAGAGAACAACCCCAGTGTAGCGTCAGGAACACTGTCCACCAATGAGAGCTACTGTTTCAAGGGAGGTGAACAGCAACAGCGTCTCTCATTGGTCTGGAGTGCATCATGTAGGTTAGGTTGGCTGTGATCTAGGAATCACTTGTCTCCCTGGGACTCAGACAAACACTTGCCACCATGTCGGGTTTTGTTTTTGTTTTCTTTTATTTATTTATTTTTTCCAAGACAGGGCTCTTCTGTAGCTTTGGAGTCTGTCCTGGAACTAGCTCTTGTAGACCAGGCCTGCCTCTGCCTCCCAAATGCTAGGATTAAAGGTGTGTGCTACCACCACCTGGCTGTGCCGAGTATTTTTATGTGGCTTCTGGGAATCAAATTCACGCTCCATCCAACTTTTGAGACAAGCACTCTACCAACCATATTGTCTTCCCAGCCCGATGTGGGCTTTAGCCAGCTGAAGCCAACGACCAAGGAAGGGATCAGAGCATGTGTGTTGCTGGACAGATCTGGCTTTGGGAGACATCTGTGTTTCTTCAGAGGGACCCACCCCCAATCTTCTGGCCCAGTATGAACTCTGACAGATCTCCCGAGGCATGCGTTACCTCCCTGGCCCCGCTGCCTGCATAATGCTGTGCTCCAGGGTAGTATCTGTCACCTCCTGCCTGCAGGCCCCAGTTCTTCCTGTTGGGGGAACTATCGAAATGAGCACACGTGTTGTGTGTGGAAAATGTACATGTGGGTTGAAAGCAGGGCAGCCAAAAGGAACAGAATGGAAACTCAAAGGGACTAGTTGTCCTAGGTTCTTTTGTCCTGCGTGTCCACCATGCCCGGGACCCTGGAAGGCTGGTTCTCTGAGGGCGTTCTCTCAAGGGACGCTGAAAAATACAGGGATTTACACAAATGAGGAGACATGCTTGGTATTCACACATAATCTCCCTGCACACAGTTGGACCCTCCCTGGACCAGGTTTTCAAGTGAAAAGCGTTTTTATAGCTTGCCTGATAGCTGTCGCTTCTGGATTTTTCCTCTCCTCTGAGTCTTCTCTCTCAGGCATTCTCCCTGGCCCAGATCTCCAGGGAGAGAACAGAAGGAAGCTAAGGAAGGTCCAGGGAGGAATGCAGGCCTCTGCAGCTCCAGGCCAGGCTCCTTGGAGAGATTAGCTGATTACCTCCCCTTTGTCCTAGGCGCGGACTGAGGCTCTTTCCAAAACTTTATCAGTGTGTTTAGACCGTAGATGAAAATTCAAACTCAATTCACAGAAACTTTTGTTGATCCAGAACTTTCTCCAAAGTAGCTATCCCTTTCTCTTTCTCCCATTGTCACTTTCTATAAACAAGTCTTTGGGGGCTGCCATACAGCTCAGTTGGTAGCTTGCTTGCCTATATCCACAAAGCCCTGGATTCACTCTCCAACATCCTGACCACTGAATAGATTGGACATGCTAGTAAACCTAGCACTTGGGAGGTGGAGGCAGGACTAGAATAGAAAAAGGATATATTTTAAAGATTTATTTATATGTATGAGTGTTGCTAATTTTTGTTTGTTGGTTTTTTTTTTCCAAACAGAGTGCCAATACATAGCTCTGATTGTTCTGGAACTTACTCTGTAGACCAGGCTGGCCTCAAACTCAGAGATCCGCCTGCCTCTGCCTCCCATGTGCTGATATTGAAGTTGTGCACCGTTGTGCCTGGCCCTGTATAAGTGTTTTGCTTGAATGTATGTCTGTGTACCATGTGCAGTTCCTTGTGCCTCAGGTCAGAAGAGGCCATCAGATCCCCTGGAACTAGAGTTACAGATGGTTATGAAGCACTGTGTGCTGGGAATCAAACCTAGGTCCTTTGTAAGAAAAGAAGATGAGCCATCTCTCCAGAGTCACCAACAGGGGATCTTGTCATTGTCAGTACTTAGATGGGAGACCCGCATCTTGAAAATAAAAATTGATGTGTTGCTTTTGTTTGTCTATCTGTGGTTTCTGTTGTTTTGTACGAGGCGAGGTTTTATGTAGCCCTAAGCTAGCCTTGAACTCGATGCAACTGAAGTTCCTAAGCCTCCTTTTCTACCTCCCAAAGGCTGGAATCACATGGCTCTAGAGTCTCGGTCCCTGGTGGTTTACTGTCACCTAGCAGGTGCAAGGAAGGACCTGTGTGCAGAGAAAGGAATACGGCTTCAGTTCCTTCCCTAAGATACATCTGGAAGCCCATGGTTAGGCCAGGGGCTGCGGGGAGAGTTCCAAACTCTGCCAGGAGTTCTGGGCCCTGGATGAGTGTGTTTGGAGCAGAGACTTGGCCTCCCTCGGCAACAGCCAACATGAGTGACAGGGAAGGGAGAAAACCAAGGCGGTGGTTCATAACTTTAGCAAAGACAGTTGGTCACTACTAAGAGGATGAATGAGAATGCAGAATACACTTGGGAGGGGGAGGCAGGAGAATCCAAAGTTCAAGGTCAGCCTTGGTAACTGGAAGTACTAGGCTGAGCCAGAAGGTGGTGGCATGGGCCTTTAACCCCAGCACTTGGGAGGCAGCAGCAAGCGGATCTCTGTGAGTTCAAGGCCAACCTGGTCTACCGAGCGAGTTTCAGGACAGCCAGGCTGTAACACAGAGAATCCCTGTGTGTGTCAGGGGGAGTTCTGGGTCAGCATGAACTATACGAGATCTGGTCTCAAAAAGTGGGGGCGGGTGGCAGGGTAAAGGTGCCCGCCAAGCCTGAAGAACTGAGTTCTATCCCCCAAACCCACACAACTGAAGAAAAGACTTCTGTAAGTTATCCTTTGACTACTGGAATCATCTGGTGGCACAGGACACCCACCCACAGGACACAAATAAAATGTAATTAAAAAAACCCAAAGCTTAAATCACAGTCCCCTTACAAACTCCACACACACACACACACACACACACACACACACACACACTAGGAGACAGCTAGAGCTATAAAACAGTTTTACAAACCTAAACAAGGCAAGCAAGCCTTCACTCCAAACTACTCTGTGTGTTGCTGAATATTGAAGTCATGCTGAAACAGTTCAAATTCTTCCTGATCAGTCTCCCCTCCAGGGAAACAAAAACAAACAAACAAAAATATTCCAAAACCTCATCAAATCCACAAATACCGAAATGTCTGTAATTAACTGAGCAATGACGTCTTCTGCATGCCCGAGCTTCTGTTTCGTGGTGTGGTGTGTGTGTGTGTGTGTGTGTGTGTGTGTGCGCGCGCAGGCGCGTACACGGAATCCCTAGGTCTGCTCTAGCTAGGTCTGACCCCCTTTTTGTTCGGGAACTCTTCACCCATAGGCCACACATAGGCCTTTCCAAAGTCTCCAAAGAACAATTCAAAAGGGACAGGCTTGAAAGTGACAATCTTGAGTTGATGCTCGACCAAGTCAAACCCAAAGGCTATCTGAGCTATAGAGGGAAGGGGGCACAAACGGCTTACACAGAGGGGACGGCCACATCTTAGCGGGTCACCCAGCCACCCCCATGCAGTCTTGCTGACCATTTGGGACGCTGGGTTGTCAGAGCATTTGGGGTTTGGCGGGAGGGGCACGAGGGAGGTGGATGCTCCCCGTTGGGGTCTGACCTCGACAGATGCACAGGAGGTGGGGCCCTGGCTGCCAGGGCGGGGCGGCTCGCTTTGGGATTCAGGGACAAAGGCGCGCGAGCTCGAGGCAGGCCTCCCCGGGGCCACGGTGATCGAACCGGGACCCTGCTCGAGCCCGGAGGGGACCACGCTCCTCCCGCCTGGCGCAGCCGGGGCCTCTCGGCCATGGCGGGGCAGCTCCAGGAGATCCAGATGCTTGCCCAGCGTTGCCGCTGAGCCCCGGGTCGCGTCCGCGCCGCAGCCTCCGCGCGAAGCACGCGCCGCCGGCTCCCACCGCAGCTCGCTTCCCATTGGCTGGCCGGCCCGCGGGCGCTCCCGCCCCGCCGCCCCATTGGCTGAGGCCGTCGCGGTCCCTCTCCCGCCCCTCCCTCGCTCGCCAGCCGCCGCTGACATCACGCGGCCTGAGGCGGCGGCGCCCCCCGGCTCAGCCCCGCAGCCCCCTCAAGGTAGAGGCGCCGCCGCGGTGCCCGGCGGAGAATGGTGCGCGCCCTGCAGGCCGCTCCCCGCCGCCTCCGCCGCAGCGCCTCAGCCGAGCGGGCCGCGGCTGGACGCCGACCCCCGCATCGGGCGTGCGGCCGGCCGGCGCGCTGAGGCGCGGAGACGGTAGCCCGGCGACGCCGCGGTCGCAGCCGTCATGGGGGCCCTGACGAGCCGGCAGCACGCGGGCGTGGAGGAGGTGGACATCCCGTCCAATTCCGTGTACCGCTACCCGCCCAAGTCCGGTGAGGGCCGGGCGCGCGCCGGGGGGCCGGGCGGAGGGGAGGGCGAGCGACGCGGCGGTGGCCCGGGCGGTCCCCGAGTCGGCCTCGGAGCGGGGCAGGTCGCGGGGGTAGAGGGGGTGCAGGGCTGGGAGGTGTCCTCCATCCCGGACCCCGGCGACGCCGCGCGGGGACTGCAGGTGCCTGCGGGGTCACCGAGGTCACCGTCCAGCGAGGACGGCCTCGGTGGTCTTCTCTGCTCTGCGCCAGGGACGCGCGCCGCATGCCCGGGATGCGGAGTTGCAGCGACTGCGGGTTTGGAGAGGCATCCCTGACAGGCAGGCACCTGTGCCAGGTGTCGTCCCCGGTTTGGCTCATCCTGGCCGCAGGGCCGGTTAGGAGTGAGTTTCTGTCGGCATGGGGCGGTGGGGGGACGGATGCGAACTTGCTCCTGCAGTCCTTAGCTTTTTCCTGAGGTGTGTGTGTGTGTGGGGGGGAACACGACGACGACGAAGTGAGCAGAAATGTATGGGAATTGGACAGAGTCACTTGGTTTACCCCTTTGCTAGTTGCTGGCAACGGGATGGCTGGGAACAGGGCAAAAGTGTTTTTCAGGCGCATGCCGTCCCTCGAAAAGGTGAATGAATGCCTTCCTCCATCCCCAGCGTCAGCATTCGCATTGCGGGACAGTTTTGACAGCAGAAGAGAGAGAATGACAAAGTAGTCGAATTGAGCGAAGGACAGCCGCTGAGCTGCTGGCGAATGACCCCGCTATCTGTCCTTTTTGAATTAATTAATTTTTTACTTGCTGTTCTCAAGACCCCTGGGGACCCAAGTCTACCGCTTTCCCTCTGTCTTGAGGACCTGCTGGGGCGCTCGATGACAGCAGAGTGTGAGGTGCAGAATTGGAGAGGATTCCGCTTTTCCTTTGATAGGATAAAGACACGCTAATGAGTCGAGCTGGTTTCTCAGCAGTCCATCGGGTTTCTGCCAGGTGGAAGCTGGGACTAGACAATGAACCTGCCTCCCTGCCCGAGTGTGTACCAGCCACTCTGGTGCTCGCTGCTTTTGTGCCAGAGAATGAGCGAGCCCTTGCAGTAAGAGCTGCTGTAGACAGGCCTGAGATGAAGCTGCGGATCCTTAGTGTTTTAATAAAGCTCTTGCTAATTATGACTGTACTTTTATCTCTTAAAAATGCATCCTCAAACCCTGGAGGCTGAGGCAGGAGGATTATTAAGTTTGGGGTCAGCCTGGGCTACACAGTGAGACTGACTCGAACAAAATAAAGCCAACACAACAACAAAAAGGAAAGTATAATTAGCCCCCCCCCCTATGGTGGTAGGATTAAAAATGTCAGCCACTATACCTGACTTGCATTTTGTTTCTTAAAAACGAAAATATGCGGTAGTGGTTTGGTATTTTTTTCTTCCCTAAGTCGCTCAGCTTTTATTGATCAGAATATGGATCATGTTTTGCTGAGCTTGGAGCTTTCAGTAGGGCTTGTTGCCTCAGGAGAGAGAACATTTGCCCTTCCTCCTCCACGGATGGATGGAAATTAGCGATGGTAGATGTTTGAAAGGCTGTTCCCGAAGGATGGTTAGAGAAATAGAAACGGTGTGCAATAGAGTAATGGACCTACCTAAAACCTTTTTGGGGAGATGGGGACTTGTTTTTGAGCCAGGCTCTCTCACTGTTGGCTGGCTACTTGATGTGTAGCCTTGGTGAGCCACAAACCTGGGGCAATCCTCTTGCCATAGCTGCACTGCCCAAATCCTAGGATTACAGGCTTGAGTCACAACATGTGGCTCCAAAGCTTTCTTCACTAACACAGTCAGTGTTTAACAGTCCAAAATAATGCTCCCAATGTAGTGAAAATTCTGATTGATCTCAGTAAAAACCTGGAGTTGGATATTGGGATAAATCCTGAAAGATCAGAGAAGTAAAGGAGCCAGCTACTGGGGAGACCTTTTACCTCTACTGAATCCTCAGACCAAAATGGGCAAGATCCTGTCTCCCTGAATCCTCCGACTGAATGCCCAGAGCTCCTGTCTTCTCCTACCCAGTCAAGTCCCTTCTTGTCTCCACCTTCCTAGTGCTGGGATTAAGGGTGTATGCCACCACTGCCTGGCCTCTATGGCTAACTAGTGTGGCTAGCTCAGCCCTCTCATCTTCAGGCAAGCTTTATTTGTTACAGCGACTTGTTTAGCTGAGACTTTCTTTCTTTCTTTCTTTCTTTTTTTTTTTTTGGTTTTTCAAGACAGGGTTTCTCTGTGTAGCTTTGGAGCTTGTCGTGGAACTCACACTGTAGAGCAGGCTGGCCTCAGACTCACAGAGATCTGATCTGCCTGCCTCTGCCTCCCAAGTGCCACCATCACCTGGCTCAGACTGACTTTTGCAGCCAAGGATGGCCTTGAACTTCTGATTTTCTCAAGTGCTGGGACCAGATGCATTCACCACCAAGCTGAGTTTATTATGTTTGGACCTAAGATTTCTTATGTGCTAGGTGAACGCTCTTACCAACTAAACTATACCCGAGTAGGCACATCAAAATGTTTTGTTTGCTCCTTTTTTGAAAACAGTCTTTCTGAGTATACCAGGTTGGCTGTAATTTTTCTGTTTTCTTCTTTCTTCCTTTTGGTTACATAGGGATTCAGTAGGTAGCCCTGGCTGACCTGAAACTCACTATGTAGGTCAGGATAGCCTTGAATTCAGAGATCTGTATGTCTCTTTCTCAAGTTCTGGGGTTAAAGACATCCACTATGGCATCTAGTTTTTCTTTCCTTTTCTTTTTTTGAGACAGGGTCTTGTTCTGCGGTATAGGCTGACTTCAAACTGTCAATCCTGCCTCAACCTCTTGAGTACCATGACTTGCTCGGTCTTAAACTTTAAAAAAAAAAAAAGGTCTATCTTTTTTTTAGATAGGGTCTCTGTAATCGGAGGTTTCTCTGTTCTGTCCCATCCTGCTTTCCTGCCCAGCTTTATTCTGCCTTGCTATAGGCCAAAGCAGTCTATATTAACCAGTGGGAGTAAAACATATTCATAGCAAATAGAAGGGCTATCCCACAGCCGTCTCAGATAGGCCTGGCTGGCCTGAAACACGTAGTGTAGCGTAGCCAAGTAACCTTGAATTTGTGGTTCTGTTATCTCCACCTCTCCAGCACTTGAATTGCAGGCCTGTACTACCTACCACTTCTACTTCCTGAGTCTCCTCAGTGCGGAGACTACAGGTGTGAGCCAACAGACCTGTGATTTGGGACTCATTTTTTGTTGTTGTCTAGGTAGTGCTGGAGAGCAAACCAGGCCCTGGAGAATGCTGGCTGAGGGTTCTGCTAGTGAGTTATATTCTCTGACAGCTTTAGTCCGTGTGATTTTGATACTGTTATGTCCCTGTGTTTTCCTTCACAGCAATATTTAGACTAGTGTCTGGACAGACCATTGAATATTATCACCTGGGCAAGTTGACATATACAGTGTAAACAAGATGTTCTCTTTAAAATTTTTATGTTATTTTTGTTGTTGGTTTTTTAATTAATTAATTTATTTATTGGATACGGTTTCACTGCGTAGTCCTGGAAGAACAGACTGGCCTTAAACTCAGAGATCCGCCTGACTCTGCCTACCAAGTGCTGGAATTAAAGGTGTGCGCCACCACCTCCCAGTTTATTTCATTTTTTGTTATGTGTTTATGTTGGAGTATGGTTGTGTGGGTTGGTGTGGCTGCAGAGGCACTGTATCATTTGAAGCTGGAGTTACAGGCATGTAGGCTGTTGTGAGCTACCCAGTATGGATGCTGAGAACTGAACCTGAGTCCTCTGCAAGAGCAGTATGGGCTTGTAACCAGTGAGTCATCTCTCTTCAGTTCCTGGCATCTTTGTCTTTCCTTCCTTTCCTTTTTTTATTTGAGACAATATTTTACTATATTGATCAAAACTGTTAATCCCCATGCCTCGTGCTCTAAAGTAATGAGGATTACAGGTGTATTATTGTACTTGGCTGTTTTAATATTTTTGCTAAGCTGGAATTTTTAGTTGTTACAAGAGTGCTGGAACACATAAAAAGTTTAACAGCTCAGCACGTCTTCAAAAATCACTATTTAAGATGGGCTGTGGTGGCGCACACCTTTAATTCCAGTACTCAGGGGCAGAAGCAGGTGGATCTCTGTGAGTTAGAGGCCAGCCTGGCCTACAGAGTGAGTTCCAGGACAGGTTCGAAAGTTACGGAGAAACCCTGTCTCGAAAAAACAAAACAAAACAAACAAACAAACAAACAAAAGAATGCAGACTAGCAGACTATAAGGTGACCAAGCTTAATTAATAGGTTCTGACCTATTAATATGAATGCTTTTTCATACATGATGTTAGCCAGAGTTAATATACCATACCAATAGAATAAACTAGAAAAGCTTCCTGATTGTATTAGTAGACTCAGACAAAACATTTGCTAGACCTTCCATTCATCTGTGATTTAAAAACAACACAGCTGGGCAGTGGTGGTGCACACCCTTAATTCCAGCACTCAGGAGGCAGAGACAGGCGAATCTCTGAGTTCCAAGCCAGCCTGGTCTACAGAGCAAGTTCTAGGATGGCTAGGGCCACACAGAGAAACCCTGTCACCAAACCAAACCAAACAAAAACAACAAAAATCCCAACAACAAAAACAAAACAAAATAATAAAACAACACTTGCCAAATTAGGACTAGAAAGGAACTTCCTCAATCTGATGAAGGACATTGACAGGAAATACGCATCGTGGTGATACTGATTATTTCCCTGCTAATATCAGGAGCAAGGTGTGAATGGGAGCTGCTCATTGCTTCCCAGCAGCCCAGACCCAAATAATCACATAGAAACTATATTAATTACAACACTGTTTGGCCAATGTCTCAGGTGTGTTCCTGGCTAGCTCTTATATCTTAAATTAACTCATTTCTATTATTTTATATTTTATCGTGAGGCTCATGGTTTGTTACCTCTTGCTTCTTGGGACGTCTCTTTAACTCTGCCTACTCTCTTTGTATAGCTCTT